AAAATCCAACGAAACCTCTGTTGAAAAAAAAAACAGAAATTATAACAAGATCTCTATTGCGAAAAAATTGTAACAAGAAAGACCCTCTGTTAATCCAACTGCTCACGAGGCTGACGCGTAGTGCTGTATTTAAGTTGCAGATAACAAAATAATAATTCATATAATTTTATTAAATTAACCTTATAATTATTTTTACGCGTAACAATTGTGATTATTACCAGAACGCACGTGCGTTGCTACAGACTATAATGCATATAGAAATGATCAAACAAATTATTAAGGTCGTCTCCAAGATCAAAACTTATTTCTGCCTCATATGTCCGGTCATGTTTGGACATCAAACGGGCGCTCAGTAGGCACCCTAAAATTCAACCGTCTAGACACCCCCAAATCCTGACCATATGTGAGGGAGAAATATGGTTGTTCGGACTATCCACCATGTTATCTCTAGCACACGGGCCCGCACATAAATCCATCCCATGACGCACACTTCTCTTTTTTATCGGATCCTCCCCTTCCCGCTCGGTTTCCTGCTGTAGGGTGACATTTCTCGTCTGGGCCTCCTCCTTTAAATCCAGATGACGGCCACCTCGCCTTTGTCATGCGTTGCAACAGGGATGAAAAATTTCATATTTACAATACTAGTAGAAGGTACGTGCTATGCACGTGTTCTCCACTAATTCTTTTTAGTATGAACACATTGCGAATTTATTTGAAAAACAAAAACATCTTATATTTTGATACAAAGGGAGTAGTATGCAAGCCTTTAAGTGATAAATTTCGTCGAAGTGTCAAGTTGCTGCGTTCAAATGTTTGGTGGATACAAACATTTCAGTGCTTTGATTTGTATAAAAGCTATAGCTTATTATTGTTTTAAAGAAAGCTATAGTCTATCATTGTTGTTTGCCGGATCTTCTAAGCATCCAGCCATTGAGCATTGAAGTTCTAAACATCCACAAAAGATCTTACGTACTTCTGCACTAGCACGTGTGTGGATCGGTTTGGAGCATTCCAGAAAGCTGGTGGAGTCGCCTTGGTGCCTGTCCGTACATAGCGAATCCAAGAATTATCAACCGTTGGATCTTTTGAGCTGGGCACTGATAAACGGTGGATGTTTAGCTTCTGGAACAAATCTATGGCTTGTAACTGCTCCAGGGTCTTGCCGGATAGCTAATACAAGTTCAAAAATTTGTGTACTATAGTAGTAGAGATAATAAAGTGGGTTAAACTAATATATACTATTGACACAGAACAACAAATAACTATAAAGATCATTCTCGAACGTACATTGGTAAACACCAATAAGCTCCACCTCCAGCCCACGTACCATTCATTGCTAGGAAGGATAATCGGCGTTCTTCTCTTCCTCGTCCTTCCCTACATTTTCTACTCCAAACCACTTTGCCAACTTGTTTCGTTGGCGCCAACCATCACCATGTCAACATCAGTGCATTCGTCAGCATCGGCTCATCTTCTTCTTCCTCCTTCCTCGCCAGCTTTAGTTCTCGTTCCTACTTCTTTTCTAGAATACTGTTTCTTTTTTTCGCTTTCTTTTTGGAACGCTCTCCTTCTCCAACACCGTGGACCACTTTATTGCTTTAGTTTCTTTCCTTCTATTCATGGAAGTCTTTTCTACTATAGCATGAACCACCTGACCAATGTAGTTCGTGTTGTCCTCACCCACGAACATTTCGGCAACCGTTAGCATGTGGACATCATGCAGAGCTTGGTCAACATTCATCTTGGTGAATGCTAGGTCGCCCATGTCATGAGTGCATGGTTGTCGTTGTTCGTGTTGGCAAGCGGTGCTCGACCATGTCGTTGAGAGTATGTTGATCATCCTTATCGCGAGCGCGTTCAAAATAATTCAGCATGATTAATTGCTTACTTAATTAATTAATTCCACAAATAATTAACAACCTACATAATTCTCTGTTTACCTAATTAACTAGCAACCAAATTAATTAATTATTTGCCTAATTGGAAAAATTCGCTACTTCCAATTATCTGCAGACATAATAAAATGTCCATCTAATTAATTAATTGCATTAGTGACTCGGTTTCCAAATTGATTTGGTGGGAAAAAGTTCTATTCAAATGGACCTAATTAATTGCATATGTAATTACTGTCTAGCTAATTAATTGTATTAATGGTTTGATTTTTCAATTAATTCAGCGCTTGATTTCCAATATATTTTCGCCTGCGTGGCTGCTATGAATGACGATGAAGACTACCGAGTACTACTGTAGGAAACATTTGCTTAATGAATTTCTTGACATTTGAATGGACACACTTGATTTGAGAATGTAGCCTATCTGGCTCTCTGCATTACTGATAAGAAATATCATATGACTGCGTCCACGAACGCCTGTACGTGGTGGTCCGCGACCCGCCTTCCACCACGGATGTCCTCGACGCCGTGATTCATGCCCTGGCATTCTCGAGCATCTCACCGGCATCAGGCCCCGACCATGAGTTCCTCCATGGTGTCGCACTTCCTAGGGGTGTGCGGAAGCGTATGCCCATAGGAAAAAATATATATGTTATTTTTGTTGTACTAGTCAATGTGTACATCCAATGCATTTCACATTGATCTGAAAGTATATTAAGTGCATGCGGATATTAAATAGGATATTGTTTGCGTGTTATTAGGTGATTAGCAATATATTTGGCATAAAATTAAATACACGCTAAACGTGTTGAGCGCTCGACATTGAAGCAATCTAGGTCGTTGGATTGACATGATTTGATGACCAAGATTAATTAGGTCTACCCATTTGGGTCTTTTTATATTGGTATAGATTAGGAACATTGTGATTGTCAATTAATAGCAGAGATAATGATAATAATATTATAAATGACATAGTGAGCGAAATTACCGATTTGTTATTGAGTAATACCTAATTTTATTTTGAAAGATTATTGAGAAAAAAATTATGTCTATCTTTTAGGAAGGTGATCTCACATATATGGTGCGATTTATGAATTCTTAATTACCTATTATTTACTTGATTGAATTGAAGGACGAAAATAAGATCTCTCTTTAGTGTGATTTGGTTTTTTAATGTGAGTGAGAAAAATTAAGTGGGAGGTGAGGCAAAAAAAACCAGACAAGAAAAACCGAGATACCAAGCTACCTGGTCCAAGTCCATAGCAATTGGTGAGTGCTTAACATATTTAACACGTAATTAATATCATACCAAATATCAATACCAATCTTAATTAAACAATTAATGCGCAAATAGTATCCTACCTAATATATGTGTACAGTTAATACTCTATCCAATATCAATGTGCATTGAATCGTACACATTTACCAGTATCTATATAAAACGAGGGTGTCATATTTGGTAGTGTTGACTAGCATACATATGAACCTAACATTCACCGCATTATCGATCTCGATGGAGAAGCCCACAAATCAAACGCGTGCAATAGCCCTGCTGCTCTCCCAACTGTTGCTCGTGTGCTTTGCTTTTCATGCGCAGTGTAAGTCACACTAGCACAGACTACACAATGAAGCTATTTGCTTCCTGATTTTTCTCATGTGTTTCTTTCATTCATGTCTTTAGTTTGTGTTTTAATATATAATTGTCAGTTTTGTTTATTTTGTCACTCCACAGGCCGAACCACCGAGGGCATGGACAACGAGAAAATCAATATACCAGGCGGATTGTGCGTCCATCATAGAGATTGCAGGCCGGGTAATTGTTGTTACTGGTGTCTAGTGGTGGATGATTGCTATCCATCATTGGATGAGTGCCAGAAAGAGTGCAAAAAACACATCCCTGGGCGCCTCTTTAACCTCCCATCCCCATGAAATTGAATGTCTTCTTTTTAAAGTGTTAATTAATTGGAAAGAGAATATTTTGTTGTTTTCTTTTGAAGTCTGTACTTGTTCTAATAAAAGTTATCTCAATTTTTATTGAACTGTGTCATTGTTTCAATATCTTATAAGGCCTTGCCGTGGGGTCATTCTAGATATTGGTTTTTTGCTCATGCTTGCTTGCTCATGTCATCATGCACTAAAACAAAATAATGGAGTACACAAGGAATGCATAATTTTGAATGATGAGTCAAAGAACATCAACAATGTATATAGTTGGAGACTCAACCATGATAGTCACGATGCAGTGGGAATGAGGTGCTGAAACTTTGGCGCTAACGCCCCCCTGAATGATCTTGACGATTTTGGGCATCTCGAGCAGAGCTTTTCGGGGATTTTCACCAACACTACCCTTTTCGGGGGTCATTCTAGA